AATGTACGGTACTTAGTAGACAACGGCGAAGAAAAGTGGTCGTAGATAAATTAAACAAGTCAGTGTTAGACCAATCGTACATGAGCGAGGTGTTTAGAGAAGAACAGTTTACAGCACTTCCTTCTCTTTGTATTGTTGCACCATAATGGTGTCTATATATACCAGTTGTCTCCAACACGCGGGCCGCATGCGATATTTTTCGGCCCGCGTCATGGTTGAGATTTTTCCACAAAAAACTAAAATATAGGATGTCAACTATGAGTAAGTTCCATCGTGTTATTTAACATCGTGAGTCCTGTCTTGCAAACTGTAGAAAGTGAAACAAAGGTTCAGTTTCACATATGTTCTGCAATTATTATCCGACCAGATTACGACCTGTTATACAAGGAAAATTGGCATGTCTACACCGAAAAATTCGTCATGAAATGGTATCGCAATTAAAATCTTCATTGATGAAACAGAGAAATCGGCCATAAACAAAACTAGTAAAGCTTCGTTGAAAGCAAGCCATGCCATAGGTGAGATGACTGCAAAATCGTCAGGTCCTTCCGTTGAAGGTCAAGAGTATATGTTAAAGGCTTGTGAAATAATATGCCCGGAAAAGTCCAAGAGCTTTGGGAAATAGGTCTTTCAACACTGTTGCTCGACGTTGGCAGCTGACTCGTACCAACAACTTTCGTCAATTGAAAAAAACTTTGAAGCCTTTCACTGGAGATAGACGAGGAGGCGCAGTTCTTACCACTTCATGGCAGCTCCTGCCACGAACGAACCGCGGCATCTCTTGCCATGGTTTTATAGTGCTATTCAGTGATCAGTATCAACGGTGTATTCGCAAATTAATGCACAAGATATTAATTGATCATGCGGAATTATATCTACTTAAACCCTAACCCCAAATCCATCGAAACTGTATCCATAATAAAAACGTTCCAATTTACCCAATATTTGTCACCATAAGGGACAGTCCTGTCTGTACGGCCCAACTGCCGTGATTAGGGCAGCAAAATTTTACCTGCCATTGGTTTTCAATTTGCTTCCGCGGTGACGGCAGCTCGTCATTGGTTTGTGGCAGCTAAAAAGTCAGTCGCCACGCCATAAGTTTGGCCGTAGCACCATGGTATGGAAATACCGCCATGGTTTTGCGGCAGCTGCAGACGCCACAAAATACTCAAAACTGCATTTGTTCACGTAACCACTGGTCGGTAACGGCTTCCTCCACCATCAAGTCCATGCTTCCGAGAACAAAATACTACAGGGGTGGTGACTCCTCTATGACCCATGGGCCGGGGCCACGGCCCATCTAATTGGGCCACATGGGCCGTGGCCCATCAAGCTATGGGCCGTGGCCCCATCAGGAAAAATTCAATTATCTTACCAAAATTTTTCAATTTTTTACAAAATTGTAAATATTCGAAACAAAAAAAATCGTGGGATGCCACCAATTTTTTTTCTTACGATAAGCCTTTGTATAAAAATAAAGCATAATACCAAATAATACTCCTTTAGTATGTGTACCAGGTTAGGGTTAGGACAAAATTGTTCCGATTTTTCACATTGGCGCGGCGGTGTGGCTCAACGTGCTAAGCGTTAGGAATACGCTTGCCACCGCACCTCTAATTACTCTGCGTGGGTTCGCAGGTTCGAATCCCATGCAGGGATGGTTATGTGCGAGAGGATTGCTGGACTCCTCGCCGTCGTTGGGTGGTTCACGTAACCGCTGGTCGGTTACGGCTTCCTCCACCACCAAGTCCATGCCTCCGAAAACAAACAATATAACTAATCCCATACCCGACTTGGAATGGTAACCGGACGAGAGGCCGTGGTTCGCCATATGGATAAGCCGTCTTATCGGCTTTCCTCTCCCCGGGATAAATATGTAAATCCTATCCTATAATTCTATTATGAGTTTGGAAACTGTCTGTCTTAGCCAAGTGAATAATCCCTTTACACAACTTGATGGGCCGAGGCCCAATTCGATGGGCCGTGGCCCCGGCCCATGGGCCGTAGACAGTGATGAGCTGTAGCCGGAACGCACCGGAACGGCGTTCCGGTTGTTGGACATTTTACTGCATTTGCGTTCCTGTTGTTGAAATAAAATTATGGTACAAAAAGTCTAGTTTTTCTGGTAAACTTAGTTATTAACTTATGTTTTGTTACATCATAATCCGTAATTCTTTTTACATCACATCACGCAAATAGTTAGTACAGCAGTAACGTGCAATGCATGGTGGTCCAAGGTTGTCGCCTTCGCGGGCCACAATAGCGTCAGAAATATGTAAACAACAAACACTTTTATTGAGCAAACGATTGATCATTGTTTGTCATTTATCAAGCTAAATCATACAAAACACGCCAGAAAAATCACTGAAACATTTGCTACATCTACATTTAATGTAAGATTTCAAACTCTTCATAACGGAGAAAGTGCTCCCGCAAATGTAAGTGCTCTCGAACATCAGTTCTCAAAGCAAAATTTCTCGAAATTGGGAAATGCTTATTGCTCACATGATAGCAAAATGCCGTTTTAGATTATATTTGCCATAACGGCTGAATGATTGATTACTTATCGATTTTGAGGGTATTCGTCTGTTTCTTTATCTGTTAGATGCACGCGATATTTCACGAAAACGAGGTTGAGTCTGCTCCAAATTTTGCACGTGCATTCATCATATCTATGGCCAGAAGCCTATTGATTTTGGATAAATTATGTCGTATAATTAGCGAGTTATTAATTAATTAGTGATGGGACACGCGGTGTCACTATAGAGTTAGAGCGAATGAATCGAAACCGCAGTTTCTGTTTTGGGGGATCCCCTAACTTTCGATGGATAAGTCTTCGGTCTCCGACCAATATTCTCGTTATCATATTTTACCAAATGTAAGGTACAGGAGAGTAATTACTAATTTTTCTGACATATTAGAGACATTTTTGTAATACTGTTTAGACTGGTTGCAAAACATCACCGGAAAGAATTATAGTCTTAGGCCATACTATTAATATTTAGTTATCATATTTAGTGATTATAACTGTTGGGATATATTCGCAACCAAATAGATGGAAAGCCAGTGAACAATTTGGACTACCCAATCACACTCGATTTAACTGCGCTAGTTGTTTCAGCTAGCCGTGACACTAGTCAATTCAGTGGCATTTGTGAGATAACAGAATGTCGAAAAGATTTTTTGTTATTGGACACGTTTAGTGGCCATAACGATCGTTTCAAAATTTTGTTGTTATTGTTATTTGTCTCCGTCTCCATTTAAAAAAAATCGCTTTTCTCTTCGAATACTGGACCAATTGCTTTGATATTTTCAGTGGTTAAAGATAAAATTTTTCTCCAGAAGGCTATCACTTTTTTTTTTCGCTATGACGTCATCAAAATTATTGCCACTGGGTGGCGCTACGTGTCCATATATTTGAGCATAGCTCTCTTGTTTTTATGACGAAACAACATCATATGCGATTTTTTGATTAACTTTCAGCAAAGGCGACGCGGATCATAGATAATGACGCTGCGGGCCACATGTGGCCCGCGGTCCTGGGTTTTGATCACCCCGGTGTAATGTAACAGATGTTTCCCCGACCTTTGACCCCATTGAAATTCATCCTATACTCTAATAATAACATTTGTATTGAATTGCTACGAATATTCCAGTAATTTTACACATGCATATTTAAGATAATTTCTTAATATCTCATTGCAGTTCTTTGACTCTATCTTAAGACAGACAAAACTTTCTGTTAACGTCCGCGTCGTGTTGTAGATATATTACATTTCGCGAATTAGGTGCGTTCCGGTTGTTACGAATTTTCCAGCTCATCACTGGCCGTAGATGAGTCACCACTCCCACTCACAAAATAACTGGCTAACTAATCCCATACCGAACTGATCACCGGATGAGAGGCCGTGGTTCGCCATATGATTAAGCCTTCTTATCGGCTTTCCTCTCCCATGGGATAAATATGTAGGTATATCCTATCCTACGACGATAGCAGGGCCACCGCAATGCCAACAAAATTCCTGCCAAATCTTGAAAAAGTTGTACCGAATGTCATATCGAAGTGTGGCCGTGATTTTATACGAAAAAATTGAACTATTTGGAATCTTTACGGTCACTTAGGGAAAAAATTCGAAAACACCGTTGGATAGAGAACTACTAATAGAACTTATTCCAACAAAAATATTGCAGTGACATCCGACAAGTTTTCGAACTTTTTGAGGTTCGAAAATTGTCAATTTCGCTAAAATTTAACTTTTCACCCGGAAAATCGAATATTTTCGAATCTTTCCAATCTTGGGGGCAAAAATTTGAAAACAACATTGGATAGAGGACTAATAAAAGAATTTTTGCCCCCAAGACCGGAAAGATTCGAAATAATTCGATTTCTTATGAAAAAGTTCAATTTTTGTGTATTTGAACATTTTCGAACCTCAAAAAGTTCGAAAACTCTTTGGATGTCACCACAATTTTTTTGTTGGAATATGTTCTTATGTTAGTCCTCTATCCAATGGTATAATCAAATCTTTGCCCTCGAGACCGAAAAGATTTGAAATAATTCGATATTTTGTGAAAAAGTTCAATTTTTCCACACTTGAACATTTTCGAACCTCAAAAAGTTCGAAAACTCGTCGGATGTCACCACAATTTTTTTGTTGGAATATGTTTTTATGTTAGTCCCCTATCCGATGGTATATTCAAATCTTTGCCCTCGAGACCGGAAAGATTTAAAATATTTCGATTTTTTATGAAAAAATTCAATTTTCGCATACTTGAAAGACCTCATTTTTTTGTTGGAATATGTTCTTATGTTAATCCTCCACCCAATGGTATATTCAAATCTTTTCTTCCAAGACCGGAAAGATTCGAAATAATTCTATTTTTAAGGAAAAAATTCAATTTTCACATAATTGAAAAATTTCTTCAAATATTGAATATTTCCATATCATGTTACTATATTAAGTTGCAGTAATATTCCCAAATCAACATCTGAATATAAATCCTCCGATAGCGTGATGTCCCAAAGTATTAGTTTTCGTAGAAAGTCAAAAAGTACATTTAGACCAGGAAACACTTTAATATGAAATTCGGGAATATAAGTTTGATATTTGGCTGGCATGACAGTGGTATAGCAGGTTAGGGTTAGGGATACTAGGTATAGTATAGGAATATGTTGGTACCGTAACCAAGGGCATAAGGTACAGAAGTAAGGTTTTCTTTTATTTCTTAGATCTGTAGATATTGACTCCTGCAGGGATAAAGGAATTAAGATTGTTATTTCACCGGATCATTTCTTCATTTAATTAATTATTATTGTGAAGCAGTTGATTCAATTCAAATTTATCATGGATGAGACATCAGCCAGTGAAATTTGTTTCACCATTTATTTGGAATACGCTAGCCATTGAATTGATCATCACGAAACGATCTGAAAAACAGAAAATGAATCTGCGAGTAGAATATTCGAAGATTACATATTACAGTAGGATAGGATTTGATTTACATATTTATCCCGGGGGAGAGGAAAGTCGATAAGACGGCTTATCCATAAGACGAACCACGGCCTCTCGTCCGGTTACCATTCCAAGTCGGGTATGGGATCAGTTATATTGTTTGTTTTCGTAAGCATGGACTTGGTGGTGGAGGAAGCCGTAACTGACCAGCGGTTACGTGGGGAGGCGGACAACTCGACTACACGGACAACTCACCAGAGACAACTCGACTACCTAGAGGCCTGGTGAGTTGTCCGTCTTTTGGCATTTTCTACGGTGGTGTTATAGGTCTATAGAAATGAAATGCATTTTTGATATTTTTAGTGCTCAAATCTTGAGAAAAAAATACATAAATATGCTCTAAAAAGCATTCTTATTTGTATAAGTGGCTTATTTTGATCATGTTGTATGAATACAGTCTACAGACGAAATTGGGGTAACGTTAGCGAAGTTAGACTGCTGACTTATAGGACTGTGTTCGTTTAATTTTTTTGAACTTTATTGGTATTAAATGTTTTAAATGAGCACTTTTAAATATATTAAAACCTTTATACTTCACAGTAACACTTAATTATTTATGAATGTGAGCTCGAATGATGATGAATGAATGCGAATGCTCTATGAATGCGACAACTCACCAGTCGAGCAAACGCTCTGCGACGTGACGTCATCGATGCTCGATCGATGCTTACTTAGTGCCGACTGATATTAGTTGTAAGCCAACTCACCACGGCAAGGTTTCAGTCATAGAGTTGGAATTTCTTTTTGCAGAAGAAAACCAGGAATAGATAGGCACTGTCGCTGCGCCTGGCAAAGAAACTGAGCCGAAGAATGGATAAAAGATGTTTACTTTTTGTTACGATTAATGAATTTAATATGATATTTGAATACTGAACGTTATGTGGAAATTTAATGGATGAAAGGTTTTTTTTCGTTACGAATAATGAATTTTATTTGAATACTGAACGTTACGGAAAATTTGCTGCGTTACATACCTACTCTTTGCAATACTGCGGCCCGTAGATCCTTGAACACCTCCGAAGAAGAGAGTCCACAGATAACTCTCCTTCTTTAAACTCCCAGACAAGTTGCACCCTCTCGTTGGCTTCCGCATACCTGCCGTTGACACGCCTCACAACATTCTCTTTCAAAATCTCCACAACGTCCGCCTCTATCCCTATACTTACTTAATACGTTGTTGAGATTAAACTGTAAAAAGGCATATTTTTCCAAGTTATACTGTTAAAATGGCGGTGACAACCTTCCAGATAATTGTTGGTTCCTATTTCTACGTCGAATACTGACCAATCATTGGGAGTCCAGACACTGTTGTATAGCCATGTGTTTTGAAAATATTCGGCGAAGTTCTTGATTTTGCATCTTTTATTTCAGTGATTTGAATCTGGACGTAATAAACATAGCTTGTATATAGCACAGCGCCATGACATGCTTGATCAGTTCTCTTGTTCCAGCGTCCCTAAAACAAAATAAAAACATGTTAATACAAAAGAAGTTAAAGATGTACAAAGACATATATAAATATGGTTAACCACTCACTTGTTGTATAGGCGAGCCAAATTATTGTGACGCACATTCTTCATGAGGGCCTGAGTGGAGTGACATCCATGCACGGAGATTAGATAAGGTGCCAGATCGGTGATAATGAAACCGCGCGCCGAGATTACTGCTTAGTTATCGCCGAGTTTAAAGCCTCATTATCGCGCGCCGAGATTACTGCTTGGTTATCGCCGAGATTAAAGCCTCATTATCGCCGGCCTGACACTTTAGAAAAGTAAGTACTCATTGGCCGAGGTTGTTTTCATCCAAGTTTTATACTGAAACGAGAACGACTAACGGTATATTAACTCCACACAAAAAACTACGCAAGAATTCAAGATGACTACACCAAATATGTGCTAGAGATGTGACGACAACGTTTCCATGAAGCAGGAGGGACTCATCTGTGACGTTTATCGAAATTGGTTTCATCGCAAATGTTTTAATAATTCAGATGTTGCAATTAGTGTTAGTTCGGATACCTATAATTTCTACTATCCGGATAACGGATATATCCGGGTATTTCGTATTTTAACTATCCGGTTAACCGGATAGTTACTGCTAATTTCAGAGAACCAATTTCACAAGATTTTCTGCGGCGAATTGACTAAAAACCACCACACAGTTCTATTGTAAATACGTATATATGTATTATTTAGCTCGAATAAAAATGATTTTGCATTTTAATGTTGCATGTGTCAATAAATAAAAATTTAAGCTCTGTTATCGTACAGAAGTACAGCTGAATGATATAATGAAATTTTTTTTAAGTACTGTGTAGTGTCCTAATTGTCTTTCCCTCGACTGCTAAGTTATTTTCTCATATTCAAATTCTATGTAAAGATTTATATTATTTCTACTTTATTGTTGATTTTTTTAAAAGTTTCTTTTTGTGTCTATAGCATATTTTCTTTAAATTTTGACTCGTACTAAATTTTGGTGTCGCAGACTCACGATGACCATTTCTTTAAGCTTTTAAGTTCAATTAGTTTAGAATAGATTTATTTCGGCTGGTATATCTATTGATTCGATTGATACATGGAAATTTGAAAAAACATATATACCAAAGTTAAAAGCAGGGACATAACATTTGGTCGTGTACTCGAAATTTTGAAATGCTACACAGATTACATGGAATCGGAAGTGTTCTGAAATAAGTCCTCAGAATTCAAACTGGTTTACATCATGATGAAATGCGTTCCTTCAATACACGCCAACAACTAAAAGCCACACCTGACGAAAAAGCAACAAACTCACACCCACCCAACCAATGCTTTTCAACTGAATTCGTTTAAGTTAGTCTTGCTTAAACTGTACCTCCAGTTCAAATCTAACTTTATAAAGCAAATGAGCTCTTCTAATAAGCGCAATATTCACATTTGTTCTGCGTGTTTTGTGATGTAAAATAGTGAAATTCACTCCAGCATTCTACGGATGGCTAAAATATAGGCAGATTAGAGTGGGGAAAAGTTGTTATTATATGCTCTGGGAGATGTCAGTCGCCACTCAACAAAAAATATAAAAATACGCTAATGCGCATACGCATAATTCATACTGCTCCATTATCCGGTTAACCGTCACAATAATATCCGGATATCAGATAGCAAAATAACTCTTGGTTATCCGGTTAACCGCTATCCGGATAATCCAGCCCTAGTTGCAATGACAAGGAAACAGTACAGGCTATTAAAAAAAAACAGGAGGTGGAACCTAGCAGTCGGCTGGTAGACTACTCAGGTGGTGAGTTGGCTTACAACTAATATCAGTCGGCACTAAGTAAATGCTATGCAACTCCTGAGTCTAGGTTTTGCAAAGCAATGTCTTCTCCTCGAGCATCGATATCGCAGAGCGATTGCTTGACTGGTAAGTTGTCCGCCTCTTGTTGCTCGGTAGTCGAGTTGTCTTCACCTCGAGCATCGATGACGTAACGTCGCAGAGCGTTTGCTCGACTGGTGAGTTGACGGCCTGTCGGGCGACTGCCGTAGGCGAGTTTAGACTACTGAGCTCACATTCATAAATATTTAAGTGTTACTGTGAAATATAAAGGTGCCCATTTTGAACATTACTTTTTGTTACGATTAATGAACTTAATATGATATTTGAATACTGAACGTTATGTGGAAATTTAATTGATGGAAGGTTTTTTTTTTCGTTACGAATAATGAATTTTATTTGAATACTAAACGTTACGGAAATTTGCTGCGTTACATACTTACTCTTTGCAATACTGCGGCCCGTAGATCCTTGAACACCTCCGAAGAAGAGAGTCCACAGATAACTCTCCTTCCTTAAACTCCCAGACAAGTTGCACCCTCTCGTTGGCTTCCGCATACCTGCTGTTGACACGCCTCACAACATTCTCTTTCAAAATCTCCACAACGTCCGCCTCTATCCCTATACTTACTTAATACGTTGTTGAGATTAAACTGTAAAAAGGCATATTTTTCCAAGTTATACTGTTAAAATGGCGGTGCCAACCTTCCAGATAATTGTTGGTTCTTATTTCTACGTCGAATACTGACCAATCATTGGGAGTCCAGACACTGTTGTATAGCCATGTGTTTTGAAAATATTCGGCGAAGTTCTTGATTTTGCATCTTTTATTTCAGTGATTTGAATCTGGACGTAATAAACATAGCTTGTATATAGCACAGCGCCATGACATGCTTGATCAGTTCTCTTGTTCCAGCGTCCCTAAAACAAAATAAAAACATGTTAATACAAAAGAAGTTAAAGATGTACAAAGACATATATAAATATGGTTAACCACTCACTTGTTGTATAGGCGAGCCAAATTATTGTGACGCACATTCTTCATGATGGCCTGAGTGGAGTGACATCCATGCACGGAGATTAGATAAGGTGCCAGATCGGTGATAATGAAACCGCGCGCCGAGATTACTGCTTAGTTATCGCCGAGTTTAAAGCCTCATTATCGCGCGCCGAGATTACTGCTTGGTTATCGCCGAGATTAAAGCCTCATTATCGCCGGCCGGACACCTTAGAAAAGTAAGTACTCATTGGCCGAGGTTGTTTTCATCCAAGTTTTATACTGAAACGAGAACGACTAACGGTATATTAACTCCACAAAAAACTACGCAAGAATTCAAGATGACTACACCAAATATGTGCTAGAGATGTGACGACAACGTTTCCATGAAGCAGGAGGGACTCATCTGTGACGTTTATCGAAATTGGTTTCATCGCAAATGTTTTAATAATTCAGATGTTGCAATTGGTGTTAGTTCGGATACCTATAATTTATACTATCCGGATAACGGATATATCCGGGTATTTCGTATTTTAACTATCCGGTTAACCGGATAGTTACTGCTAATTTCAGAGAACCAATTTCACAAGATTTTCTGCGGCGAATTGACTAAAAACCACCACACAGTTCTATTGTAAATACGTATATATGTATTATTTAGCTCGAATTAAAATGATTTTGCATTTTGATGTTGCATGTGTCAATAAATAAAAATTTAAGCTCTGTTATCGTACAGAAGTACAGCTGAATGATATAATGAAATTTTTTTAAGTACTGTGTCCTAATTGTCTTTCCCTCGACTGCTAAGTTATTTTCTCATATTCAAATTCTATGTAAATTTATATTATTTCTACTTTATTGTTGATTTTTTTAAAAGTTTCTTTTTGTGTCTATAGCATATTTTCTTTAAATTTTGACTCGTACTAAATTTTGGTGTCGCAGACTCACGATGACCATTTCTTTAAGCTTTTAAGTTCAATTAGTTTAGAATAGATTTATTTCGGCTGGTATATCTATTGATTCGATTGATACATGGAAATTTGAAAAAACATATATACCAAAGTTAAAAGCAGGGACATAACATTTGGTCGTGTACTCGAAATTTTGAAATGCTACACAGATTACATGGAATCGGAAGTGTTCTGAAATAAGTCCTCAGAATTCAAACTGGTTTACATCATGATGAAATGCGTTCCTTCAATACACGCCAACAACTAAAAGCCACACCTGACGAAAAAGCAACAAACTCACACCCACCCAACCAATGCTTTTCAACTGAATTCGTTTAAGTTAGTCTTGCTTAAACTGTACCTCCAGTTCAAATCTAACTTTATAAAGCAAATGAGCTCTTCTAATAAGCGCAATATTCACATTTGTTCTGCGTGTTTTGTGATGTAAAATAGTGAAATTCACTCCAGCATTCTACGGATGGCTAAAATATAGGCAGATTAGAGTGGGGAAAAGTTGTTATTATATGCTCTGGGAGATGTCAGTCGCCACTCAACAAAAAATATAAAAATACGCTAATGCGCATACGCATAATTCATACTGCTCCATTATCCGGTTAACCGTCACAATAATATCCGGATATCAGATAGCAAAATAACTCTTGGTTATCCGGTTAACCGCTATCCGGATAATCCAGCCCTAGTTGCAATGACAAGGAAACAGTACAGGCTATTAAAAAAAAACAGGAGGTGGAACCTAGCAGTCGGCTGGTAGACTACTCAGGTGGTGAGTTGGCTTACAACTAATATCAGTCGGCACTAAGTAAATGCTATGCAACTCCTGAGTCTAGGTTTTGCAAAGCAATGTCTTCTCCTCGAGCATCGATATCGCAGAGCGATTGCTTGACTGGTAAGTTGTCCGCCTCTTGTTGCTCGGTAGTCGAGTTGTCTTCACCTCGAGCATCGATGACGTAACGTCGCAGAGCGTTTGCTCGACTGGTGAGTTGACGGCCTGTCGGGCGACTGCCGTAGGCGAGTTTAGACTACTGAGCTCACATTCATAAATATTTAAGTGTTACTGTGAAATATAAAGGTGCCCATTTTGAACATTACTTTTTGTTACGATTAATGAACTTAATATGATATTTGAATACTGAACGTTATGTGGAAATTTAATTGATGGAAGGTTTTTTTTTTCGTTACGAATAATGAATTTTATTTGAATACTAAACGTTACGGAAATTTGCTGCGTTACATACTTACTCTTTGCAATACTGCGGCCCGTAGATCCTTGAACACCTCCGAAGAAGAGAGTCCACAGAT